GATGTGGAGACAGGAGTACTTCACTAAATCAATAGACTTTCAGCTTATCAGTCCCGAGTTTGAATCCCGTTCTATCTTATTTAGCCTGACGAACAGCTAAATTAATTCTCTCAACGTTCATTATTTAGAAGTGATCTGTTATATATATGCAAACAAATACGTATTCTCATTTAATCCTTTGCGCTAAATTTAAATGAGCTCTTCTGGTCACTCCTTTGAATATTTAAGCTCTAAAAGTTCATTATCTGACACGGTAAAATGAACCCTATGCTCTAAGTAGTAAACTTAAGATCAGGACTCAATTTCATCAACTACGCATATTACTGCAGATGGCATTTCACACAACTATGACTTGAAGGAATGACGCTTTTGGCGAAGAATCTTCTACCAAAATCTTCACTGTTCAATTAATGGCTTTGTTATAATAGTTGACTCCGTCATTTTTAATCATATCCCTGGCCTAATTAGCTATCTCATATAAGTAATCATGTTATTTTATCCAGTGGAATTTTACGGAAGTTTTCTCAGCAAATCTGTTTAATTGTGCGCTCACTATTGTCCAGGAAGCACAACTAGTACTTATCTTTTTTCTTTTCTTTTTAAGGTGGACACACTAATCAGAGAAGCAACAGATGTTGACCGACTCTGTCAAATGTATAAAGGATGGATGCCGTTTCTATAAATTCACTTAAAGGACTGTGTTTTTCTCCTGTTTCGTAGATTACTATTTTTTAGAATACAAAGACAGAAAAACAATTTCAGTTATTTGTTTCACCTTAATGTACATATACATGCCTGTTGTTTAATGGCTTTCACTCTTATTATAATGAGCATATATATTCTTGTACTTTGTATGTGAAAGAAAGTTGAATATATAATAGTAAATAGACACAATATTTCTGTCAGTGTAATCAAACTTTTAATCGATGAAATTGTCGTGAATGGCCTTTGTTTATTAGACGGTATTCAGTGCTGTGATAGTTTTTTTTTATTCATTAGCATAGTTAGATATCTTATTCTAGTCGGCCACTGGATCGCAAATCTCTACAGGCATTGTACAACTTCAAGTATCACTTCTTCGCGTCAAATTTAATATTTTCTGTATGTCAGTAAAATGAACACATTATTTTAAATATTTTTTGATTATACCTTGATTCCACACTGTATTTTCCGTACAAGCATGGAATTTTTAGCATGGATATCGGTAACCCAAATTTTGCAGGCCGACCATAGATATCAGGTGTGCGTCGGCAGGGGATCGAACCTCGGACCATGTGTATGGTTGGCGAGAGTCCTAACCACTGATTGAGTTTCAACATAGAACTACTCATAGAAGCGCAGCAGTCCAAGTTACCACACTGCATGTACGAGACAAAAGCAGGTGGAGAAAAAATTCAGAAGAACTATAATAAGCAGAAATGTTTGCGAGAAATTGTAACACCGAGGGTTCAATAGGTATTGGGGATTATAAAGAGTGAAGACACTTGAGTCAATAGTCTCTAGTCATTGATTCTTAGCATCTCGATGTCCCCAAACTGACAGTCTACACCTCCCCTCGTGACTAGCTCAGACCAACTGTCAAAGACATCATGAACAGATGCCAGGTTTCTGTTTGACTACTCCTGGCTCATTTCCAACAGCAATGGATCTAAGTGCGTAACACGTGTCCTAGCCATTTCACAACCTCATCCATTAACTGAACCTCCTTATTCAACACTGTACACCTAATCTCAATATTGCTCATCATATTATACCACTTGACCGGTGAAATAGAACGCAATCATGTGGCTGAAGACAGCTGGTTTTTCCATATCTTCCACTCTCAATGGCCTTATCACACAACCATAACGAAGGATACAGTGAACTGCTGTGCAGCAGACGTCCTTTGACAGAAAGCCGGATATCACGTCTGCTCCAGGAATGACATAAGTTGGCAAATGCTATACAAGCCCTTTATATCCATGCTGAGATTTTGTTAGCAATCAGTCTATTTGGCCTGATCCAACTTCCCAAGTGAAGTCGTCAATACGCCCTATCACTTCACTCCCTATCTTTAAACTAGGAGTTGTGTTGTCCAGTTCTGCAGCATCATTTCACTACATTTGACAGGGACGAATCGCATGCCAAACATTCGAAGATTTCTACTCACGGTTTTCAGAAGGCTGCATTTTGTCACCATCTTCATCTAGAAGGCCAATATCGTCCGCACACTCTAAGTCAACAATACTGCACCGTGGTAACAAGTTAATCCTTAAGTGACTACAGTCAGTTACAGTCAATTCCACCAGTATATCTATCATGAGATTGGACAAGAATGAGTATCCCTGAAAGACTCCACTGGTTTTCATCACTTCAGATCACAACTCTTCTTAGGTCCTCATGCAACTGCGTAAGTTCGGGTGAATTGCCCTGATTCCTGTGACATACTTTCGTGGCCCTTTCTCAAGGCAAATCATTGTCATAACACCTTCCGGTTGATGAAGTCTAACTCCGCCTTCAGATCCAGGAATATCCCAAGTGGTAAGCATGCTTTACCTCTAGAATGCGTTGAAGGGTAGAGATTTGATCAGTACACCCTTTTCCCGCTTTGTTTCTCCCAACTTAGTGAACTTTAGATATAATATTAGTCAAGCCTATCCCCTATGTTTATCACAGAAATACTTGTCTCCCATCTCATAAATAGGGGTAATCAATGGTTTTCACCAGTCCAACAGAACTATCTCTGATTCCCAGACATTACCTAATACATTAGTTAGCCCAGACAACAGTTTGTCACCACCGTCCTCAAACATCTCTGGGGCCATTCCATCAGGTCCTTATGTTTTGCCTCAATTCATATTGGAGACAGTCTTTGCAACATCGGTCACATTTGGAAGACCGATGTCTACATCCCATTCAGGTAGGTGTTGGATGAGAAAAAAAGTTGAGAGTGGCTGTAGGCCAGTTCAATTGCCCCTCAAATTTTTTCTCCAACGCATCATTTTTCCCTCTTATCATTTGTCTGTTGCCGTAATAACCTTCAAATAATTGTCAGGTGTTGCCCACCAGTCGTGAGCAATGCTATGATGATGTTAATAATCAAACACCAGAAGTCCCTTTTACTTCCCTTATTTGATTTTTCCATCGCCAGAGAGTAGGAGATTACTGCCGCACAATATACTTAACCCTTAATATATAAATACATTTCCTGCAGTGCAATTTGTGTAATTTCGCGAAAGTAAAGCGGACCATCTGTAATTATGCCACCAAGCTACCAGATCTGATGAGAACTCCCAAATAAATGTAACAGTCATTGAGTCAATCCACTTCGTCCCTTATTGTCAAACCAAGTGATAATGCAAACCAGTTTCTAAATAGTTATTCAAATTTGACAGGTGAGCGACGCTTACAAAACAATCTCAAATGACCATTCATTGTACTTGTAGTAGTTTGTATCTTGTCAACACATTCACTCAAAACGGCTATGCTGTCTTTACCCAAAGTCAACGAAAATATGTATTTCTGTGCCTAAACAGAGACTCCCCACAAAAATATTCATAATAAAGTTGAACAAAAATAAACACTGCACATCCTTGATTGATATTAAGCATCAAGTACACCCTTGTTTCCAACATAACTGCGAGATTTAGAGTATCATAGAGAGTGAGTATCTGGTTAACGACTCATCGAGAAAACTGAATCAAACCTCATTCTTTCAGACCTGTTGATCTCTGGCTATGGTCGAGTACGTATTTTTATGAACTCTAGGATTCTGATGTCAGGATAACGTCACTGGTTATCACAAGAGGATTCTTATTCTTTTTTGAGAATAGGTCAATCAGGATCAGTCACAGTATCATGCATGACAAAAATACTTCAGGTAGTTAGTTAATAATCCTAGTTCAACATCTCCAAATGACGTCAAAGATAGCTCACTAAGCCCTGCTGCTTTTCCCCAAATAAGGTTTCTCAGAGTGCAGTTATTCGTCTGCTACATCGTGAATATATCATTCGGCCTGTGAATAGCTGTTGAAAACGAACAACATGGCTTAGTTACCTCACTGAGTGTTAGTCTTTCAAAGTGCAATCTGTTAAATCTGTAGCAGTCTGCAAAACCAAGGATAGGCTAAACATGGATAAAGTAATAAACGGAAGTTATTGAAACTAGGCAGTAAAGTGAAGGTTAACGAAAATGTCCCACACCATGACGTCGAAAACTAAATGCACTATATTCAGTTTCAGGAGATGAAAGTACTTGTTGTTAGAGTTCACTCTATTACGAACAGAAGTAATACCTGAACTTCTCAGCTGAAAACTCACAGTTATTTAGATTTCTTCGGTATCCTCATTTCATCTAGCTAATCCGTGGCAAAAATACAATCTTTTGGAAACTCCTGTCAATTTGAATCATTACCACTGCCACTATTCTTTTCACTTTTCGATATTTCGTTGCCATTCATACTATCTTTCGTTCACTCCCACATCAGCAATGTCATTATTATCACTCTTCCATTTCCATTTTCGTGGCTTGTTTAATACTATAAAAGCCATTAAATGAATTTCGCTGATAATTATACAGTTTCATTGAATGTATTACAATCAACTGGATAGTGAATCATTTTTTGTAAATCTAATATCTGTAGAAGCTGTCTACCGAACACTGATGGTCGATGTAATCAGTCCAATGGGCATCTATCAGCCAGTTGGAATCGTGTTTGCCTTCTGGTCAATGTTTTAATTTTACCTTTGTGTGTGCATGAACTCCTTAAATTGAAGCGCCGTGTCACCAATGAATTTTTAGATGTGTAAGTCTAAACTCAGGAAATTCTCGGCCTCATGCATTTTTGCATTGTTCAAGTTTAATTTTGTTACTCAATAAATACCTTATAAATTTGTGCACTGAATAACAATAATTTAAAGCTGTGATACTTTTTCGTCTGATAGCATATTTGTACTGGAGTTGTTTCTAAAAGAAATAACTAAACAACTAAGTGCTCAGTCATTGGTATAATGTGAAGTATTTCATTTGATACGTAACTTGAGAATATACACCAGTTGTGATTGGTGCCTTGTAGTAACCTTGGTCAGGACAAATTACTGAATAGTCAAACTTTTTGGTAATAATATTTTCCAATGCAATTTGAGAGGATACTTTTAAAGCGTTGTTTCATCAAACGTAAACGTCAGGGTAATCCACGATTGAATTTTTTCCTTTTAATCGTCAAAATCCCAGTGAATGTTCTAATGACTGCATCTCAAAACACCGCCAAAAATTTTGCTTATATTATGAAAGTCTATTGTAATTGCTAACAATCGGTGGTAGGTTTATTTATAAAACCAATAACATTAGAAAGAGAAAACAAAAGCAACCACCGCATTCACGATGGTTTCCTACCACAGGGTTACAGTAGTAGTTTTGAGGGGACTCGATAAGTGCCGATTGCCTCCTACCATCTGACATCAACACTTCAAAGTGCACCGTGATGGCGAGCTACCTAGAATTTTGGCCAAATTGCAAACCTGACTGATAGAATTCAGTCTTCACCAAACAAAGGGACAGAAACATCACACTAGTTACTATTATCCAATGAAAAGTTCACATTTTACTTCTGAGTTTTAAAATAACATAAATTATAGCTATCAAAGTACTTCAGTAGGCTGAAGTTTCTAATTCGCATAATTGCAGACAACGGTATTCATGGCTTAGTCCAGAAAAGGCTATTTGAGATCATATTGAACACCTTCAAGACCGTAAAGCCTGTACAAGAATACAAAAGTAATCCTGCACATTGTAACTGTCGGTTTTTATTTAGTAGCTGCGGCTTTAAACGATTATCGGTATTCATAAAAGTTATTAATAAGAAACTTGTCATTCGAGAGAAAATGAGTGAAATACTCAGTATTTCAGAGAGAAAATAACAATTGTCAGCTAGTGTGAGTGTATATTCCTTCTTTACAGGGAAGTGTTTACAGTGTGTGGGCGTGAATCAGTCACACTGAACACCTTCGTATCAGACCTTTTTCATTGGATGTTACTGAACTACTGACTAGATGATGTCCAGGTCCGAAACTGTCTATTATAATGGTACTTAGCTGATAGTTGTAACATAGTTTCCAAGGTATAGTTGCACACATAGTAGTGGGTGAATAACTCTTACTCAGTATAAACTAAGTCAGTCTATACGGTACGATTACATGAAGACAAAAATTGAATTAGTCAAACAGAGTATCTTTTCCCATGCGTCCACTATATATATTTCAGTACGATTAAACTTTTAGAGGTACGTAATTCCTCAGAATTATTAGCCACATCATTTATTACTGAACATTGGATGCTGACCGTCACTGTTTAAGTCGGTCTGTTTAGCTGAAGGCTTACGGTCAAGCATCAACGCCATTCGGCACGCCACTGTGTTACGATCGTTAGTTCGTACATGATCTCTAGCTAGTTAGGTGATCATCTCGCACTCCGTTTCGGTCCCGAAATCGAGTTCGTAATTTCGCCGATCAATTTTTTTGTTTTGCTTTGCCTTTGGTTTACGCTGAACGATTACTACAGAAGTTGTGGGTATTAGATCTTGCGTTCTTACTATCCGTGAACGTCAACACCCCCAGCCTTTTAAAACTTACCAATGCTGTAATTTATAGTGTAGAAGACTATAGACATTCTCAGCAAAATATTACTGGCAGCATAAATCTTTCAGGCATTCAAGTTTGCTTCTATTTTCCTATGTAACAGTCTAATTTTACAAGTAAATACTAAATGTTAAACAATAGTAATTACCGATTTTTGATACCTGATGATTTGTATTTTTATCTGAAGGGTGGATATTATCCTATTTGAAAGCAACAGGTCATTCTACGTCTATTTAGGTAACTCTTAATACATTAATTTTCGCAATGTTGTCTACGAAATCCCCAGAAAAAGCTGAATATTGTTCTTATGCTAAGATTTAATGATTAGATCGTTGTGTTAAACGTCGGCTTTAAACATTATTGAATTATTAACTTTACAAGCATTAACTCGTCTCAGGATACTCTAGGTTTTAGAGTTATCATGTTATCTCTACTAAACAGTGTTGTCAGCAGGGTTAGCAACGTGCCACTTAATCAGCTTGTTAATACTCTGGTTGACAGGATCTTGTGCAAAATGGGCTAAATCCATTTTATCTAACTCACACCACCCTCTTCACTCACAACTCTCCCCTTGTATCTCATCAAGCAAAACCAGAAGCCTATATAGAAAACTATATGCTCGCACTAGCAAGTACAAAAACTCAACCATACCCTACTTAGCTCGTGTTCTGTGCGATAAAGAAAGTATTAGGCGTGATACCTATAACTTATTAAATAGTTAGTAGAACAACTGGATCCCGTCTTTCCAACTCATATCATTTATTGGTACAACGTTTTTCTTTCTTTCTTTTCCTTTACTCTCTTTTTTCTGTTATGTGCTGCTTTGTTTCTATCTTCCTTACTAACTCTATTAGAGCATTCTTCGTTCTCTCACACTCTGTATATCTCGACTTTTTGTTACCGCTTACGCCATTAAATATGCAAGTATCTACTTTTCTAACACCCTCACACACTCTGTTTAATTTTGGCTTTGCTACCGACGTGCCAATATGTTGTTGTCATTAGTGAACTAAGACTACCTTAATCTATGTAGAATTTTGTTTATTGATAATGTACCAACTGGATGCAATACTGCAGTAAGATGCTGAGAATTCCATTCTGTATCACAAGTACTGTTTTGGAATAAAGCAAATTATTATTATTATTAAAAATAATATGAACAATAAAACTTATATGAACGGCCATATTACTGAATCAACGTGTTTTTTTTACCTTATCACTGCATACTGCAATAATAACTACCCATTAATACAGGGGAGATTTGTAGCTTAAGTGGATGATTTGGTTGTGTTTAGCAGGACAATGAAAGCCTCGCGATTAAATCAACCAGTTCACGGGAAACAACCAAGCGAAACTACTCACTCGTCTCAAAAATTAAGAACTACGCATCTTTCCTATGAAAACCAGCATGAATATATCGACTTTCGTTTGAAATGGCTTTCACTTCCTAGAACAGACTATCTTGTATTGTTAATGCCTCCAGTTACATATGGAATTATTGTGTCTGATATTTATCTTGTGAGCGTTTATTTTTCTTCCCATTGAATTATTAATGCTGACAAGCTGTCTTGTCTCTAGACACTGTTAACACAAACTCCCCTTTGTAATTCAGAGGTTTTTTGCTTTCTCACTCTTTGACAACAATCAATTACAAAATCCTCGACAACTACAAGTTAACATGCAGAGGTTTGGGCTGTAAATAGGCATAACTTCTTAATTTTTACAAATCACTTTCTCCTATGTTGGATGACTCAGTTCCTGTTTTTCGCCCACAACCATAAAGTTTCAATAGTAAACTGATAATTCCTCAGTGAAATAAGATAAAAACCATATATATTTTTCTACTCTAAGGTTTCATAGTTAAGACTATTTTGAAGAACGCAATCACCACATGTACATGCGTTTTTATTGTTAACAATAATATGAATAATTATAAATCAAAATCATCTTTAATAACACTATTAAACGACGTGAGGGTAATTCACAACTATGTGGTTTATTTTGTTTCAGTGACAGCTCATAAGGATGCAAAAAAGAAGGGTTCGGAAATAAGCAAATCTACCAAACATTTTCCAAAAGTTGAATACACTTTAGAAATGCAGCCCCCATTGATTCACCTAAATGATCCTACAGAATTTATTTTGCATATCATTGGATCACATGGTACACTGTTCGAGAGAGTTAAATTCACTGATCACGTTGCTGAATCACAGTCATCTGTTGCACAGGTTCGCGCATTTTTCCACAATATACTGTGATTAAATTGACAGCGTGTCAAATGGATGAATTTTAAGATTAATAGGAGATATAGTCACGTTAATTATTTTTCTCCTTATAAATCTATTTGCGAACGTCCAGTGTTATTTGTTTTACGCTGTTTACAACAGTTAAAAAAATATTTGCTTCATGGCATACTGTTAGGAGTGTTACGAATCCGTGAGACTAGACTGTATAAAAGTGGGCTCTCCAAATTGTCGACTGCAGAGTTCATGAATTACCCTAGAGACAGACACAAGCGCACGGAGAGTTGTGGCCAACACGACGTTACAGACATCATAGACAACTCTGATGTAGTGAGAACCAATTTCTTTTAAGATCACCTCGAAAAGTAAAATAAAAATTATAATTATACAGTGCTACGATACTATAAACAACCCATTGGAGCAGTCGCGAGTAATCGTAAGACCCCAGATGACATCGAAATTCCCACGCTTGGTGTAAATGAATTGGGTGCTGACAACACAAGCAGAGAATTCACCATTGGTTCAAAGGTGCTGGTTGATGCTGACGGATAATCCTTCGCGTGATTCAGCGTGTTTCATGTTTGGAAGCAGCTCGAGGTCATTCACAAGTCGACTTGGCTCTCATCAAATGGCCACACCGAATTCAAATAGACTTTACTTCATTTTTATCTCAAGAAAGTGGGGACAGAGCTTAATGGACACAAAGGAAGAAGAGCAGAGGTAGGTTCAGATCACTATCTGGTTCAAGGAACATTCAACATCAAGTCGAAAGTCTGCGAAGAAGCTAGACAGATCACAATTGAAGTTGAACACAGAGACTGGATGGAGCTACTCGAGACGCTTTCACTATCTAGAAATACCACCGGAGAAGCCTGAAGTGCAGGACATCGGAAGTGATTTCGCACAAAACAACGTCAGAATTTTTAAGAAAAATGTCAAGTCAGTGCTCCTATGTGATTTAGATTCTTGACACACGAATCATCAGAAGCAATTCCCACACACTACAAAGTCTTATCACCACTTGCTACCTTATCTGGCTTGATACTGAAGATCAGATGGGCAATCAGAAAGGTTAGGCAACAAAGAACTCTGGCAGTCAGCGACCAGCTAACAACCTAGTCTCCGACAAATACGGAGATATGAGACATAACTCAGCGAAAATCTTGTCTTTTCCTTATGATTCAGTATGGGAATATTCTGTTCACTAAATATTCAGATATATTAGAGACATATCCAAGTGAAAAGACACATCAAGCGCACGAATGGGAAGCGACGAGTTGGGTGGCCATGATTGAAATAGAGATCATGTGAAGAGGAAATGAAAGCTTGTGGGTAATCGTGGAGTTAGCGAGTTTAAATTGATAGCAGAGATTCCAGTGAGTTGTTCTGTAAAAATACTATCTGGGCAATATTACAATGATTATTATGTGCTATTCAAAAGTATATATGCTGTTGAACTGTTTTTCAGAATCCTTGGTTCTCTATTGTTTTTTGAAGGTTCAGTTATGTTTTGATAGTGGCCTTCATGGTGAGCTATTTTTCATATTATTTGCGATTTCTACTAAAAATACGCCTTGATAAATGCTACCTAGTCATCGCAAAGCAATCATGAAGCTTAATTCCAATAACTCTGATTTTCTTTTCAGAAATCCACAGATCTGTTTATTACGACGTCATAATAGGGAGGGCTTCATGCATTCGTTCGCCTACATCAATATAAGTAGAATATGTTGGCATTCTATTCAACTCGAAGTTTCGAAAAGACTGACGCGTGAATTTTTCCACCTGGTACAAAAAAGAAATAATGTCTATAGATACATTCTCACGCCAAATAATAGCGAATTGTAGAAGTATCAGACTTGTCAATATGGTGACTGCTAAGGACGTATAAAGTGAACCATAAAACTTCCTAGCTTAGGCATTAGCTTGTTTCAGGTTGACCATATTAATCATCTGGAACACATTGACTTCTAAAGTAAGGTATGGCAGAATTTCGTTGTACCTAAGAGCATCATTCTCAGTGTGACCTGTAAACATGTCCCTAGCTTTACTCACAGTACAGATTATAATTTCATACTTTCTCTTCACTTTATTCAGATTGAACAGATAAATGTTGGGAATATTCAATACTTAAAAATCATCCCAAATGTGGAGAACATTTTATCTAGATATAACATGGAAAAGGTATGCTTTATCTTCTTTGATATATATGCATATCACTTCCGATTTCTAGCTAATTGTGACACGAACTTTAGAAGGTAGAGAAATCTACAATCTATTGAAAAAGCCGCAATTCAGCTCATTAATACCACCTAAATTAAAGAACTATTCAGTAAAAGTAAGTTGTGACAAATGATAACCTGTATGCTCTTGGGTACAAGAGGGATATGGAATACACGTTCCGTTCCTCTTGAGACTGTTTAACATGTACTCGCATCCACTGTGTTATGAAAGCAGGACACAAAGTCCTAAGCATCAGAAAACAACTGATATATACAGACATTTATAATTTTCTGTTTTCTCTTTTACTGAACCGAAACCATTTCCGCTTTCTTCCTCGCTTTTATCTTAGGATCGTTCGCTGTTAAGTCACAACGATAGTAATGGTTCCGAAAATAAAGAATCATTGAATTTATCTCTACCGCTGGCTGATAAATATGTTTTTGGTGTGTTAGCACATGAAAATTTGGAGCCACCTATATCATACCACCTCGAATTTTCCAACGTCGCTGTTGATTCAATAAATACATAGATCTACTGTCCCTTGGATAAAACCGCTCAGATACTTCTCCAACAGTGTCAACTGAAATTTCCAAGGGAAAATATGCTATCACTGGCACTTACATATTCTTACACCAGAAACTTAACTGTAATTCTTGCATCTTCCACATAACACAAAGAAGTACAATGACTATACCAAGAAAATAAACGTTTACTTCCCCCTAGTTTTTCTGAAACAACACTAGAGTCCATAATAACTAGAAAGCAGTGGTTACAATTCATCACTGCAGATTCTGTTATCCCCCCCCCAAAAAAACCATATAATCAAGGTACTTCATTACAGTTACTTCTTCCTAACTGATTACATTTATCCTATCAGCAATGGATATAGTGTCAACATTCAGATAGGTGAATTGATGATAACGAGTCAGTACAAAAACTTCTTTGATAAAAATCTAATAAAGTGAGATACTCTTGATGACTGCCAGCCAAAATTAATCTCAAGCCCACCTATTTCAGCCAGATTAGTTCATTCTGTGAACTGCAACATGTGCCACAAGTTGTATGACTAGAGTGTACCATATACATCCAGATTTCTATTGAGACGTGGTGTTAGACTGCTTTACTGACTATGATTTACACACAACGTCAAGACACATTTTACTTCAGTATCACTATTCATAACCCTAGTGATTACACAATAAAAGAAAGTACGCTGATATTCGATTAACCAGGTAAGTTTGCACACGTGGAACAACTATGTTGGACAGGAGTAGAACTGTTAACAGTGAACTCAATACAAAGAAAATCCAAAGATTTAGATTCGACGGTTTATGAGTAGGCATTTTGTGTATATGGGATCAGTGCAGTGTGGAAGAAATTGTTGCAAACAAAGATAATAATGTAAACAAATATCTCGGCTGCATGAATATTCAAGCACACGTTAGGATGAAGATAATTGCTGAATTGGGCTCATTATTTCAGAAACAGGAAGTTGTCGTGTAGTTAAGGCCTGGTAAACAGATAGTTAGAGGCTAATATTATTAATGAGACTATTTTTCTCATTATTTCGAAGCTTTATATTTACTTCTGTCCCCAACTAAATAGTGAATTGATTAAAATGTTGGATGAAAACACATGCTCAACATACCGCAGAAGTCTGTCTGTCTGTTTTCGACATTTGCACATATGTGCGGCAGTTCAAGTCGCTACACTCCATGTAGCACACAATTCAAGAGAAGAAATGCACTATATAGACAGCAAACACAGGTGTGAGATAAAGGAATAGTAATAGCGAAGAACGAAACAGTTTCATTGGAAATCAAAGACACAAGGAGTAGGATGCATCTGCGCCATTGAGAACGATTTTAAGCCATGTCACCAATAGTTTACAACCATTGGTTTTTACCTTCCCGAGGACCCCAACCAGGAAGTCTACACCTTCCTACGTGGCTTAGACTAACTGTTGTAGATTTCATTGATTGGTGCCATGTTTTGGTTTGACCACCACTGGCTAACTCTTATCCAACCTGATCCATCCTATGTCAGCTAACATTGCCCGTCGAGGAAGGCGATGTCTAGGCATACGTAACACATGTCCTAACCATCTCAGTCGATGAAGCTAGCTTCACAGTCTCGTCGATTGATTTTCCCTCCTCACGCAGCACTCGACCGATGCCTCACCTCAATATTGCTCACCCTATTATACCACTTCATACGGGAGATAGAGCACAGGCACCTATGATCATAAACAGCTAGCCACGCTTGTCATGTATTCCACCCTCAATGGCCAGGTCTCACAGCCATAAAAGAGGACGGAGTGGACTGATGAGTAGTACACACGCCCTTTGGTCGATAGCCGGATATCACGTCTACACCAGGGATGGCGTGAGTTGGAATATGCGAAACGAGCCTTCTGTATCCGTACTGCGATTTCGTCAGAGACCAACCCATTGGGGCTGATGGTACTTCCCGTGTAAGTGAAACGGTCAACGTGCTCTACCACTTCACTTCCTATTTCTAACCTACGAGTCGGTGTAGTCCAGTCCTGTAACATCATCTTGCATTTGGCGGGAGCGAATCGCATGCCAAACATTCGTAGATTGCAGCTCATGGTGTTCAGAAGCCTCTGCATTTTGTCAGCGTCCTCGTCTAGGACTATATCGTCTGCATATTCCAGGTCAACGAAATTATTCTCAGGTAGCAAGTCACTCCCTGAGTCGCAGAAGAATTAAATCCAAAACATTTTTGCTACTAAAGCGTTATATAAACCACAACTCTTGACAAAATTGACCAAACTGATTCATGAAACACACGGTGCCTCCTACTGTATTCACCTCAATTCTACCATGACTTGGTTGTGGCGTATATAATCCCTACACAATGACGTGAGTGGTAATAGTACACAAAATTACATTATCAGTTCATGCATAATTCAAACTGCAAGAATTAATATATTGGGATTCAGCCCCAATGCACAGCAGGGCTGTAGTTAGATTATCATCAGAAGACACCGCGCTCAGTAATATGTAGACATCTACTGATAAATATTCCTAGCATATTCTTCGATCATAACTACAGAAACTCCTACGTCGTTCCTTTGGGTAATCTTCGCAGGAGTTAACAGACAAGTGGTATGTACAGGCAAAACCCGCTGAACTGTTAGAACCAACATGAGGTCGTCATGGGTGTCTTAAGAGCACTATGAAATAACCCAACCGGCTATTCAATGAAGTACAGCATAATGACCTGCCGTTGATGTTCCTGTCGATTCCACAAATGCCCATCATTCAACTTTGACGTCATCCACGAACTAAGCTGCCTGCCTGAGATAACACACTGACTATTCGGTCAAATTAATGACAATGTAACGTACACTGGGTGGGAACCTGTCTAGGAGGGCATACCACATGGACTCGTTCGAATCCCATCTACAATCTTAGTACTACATACTGTCAGCCCACCTAAAATACTTGACTCATAGCACTTGATATCGAGCTTCAAGCAGCAATGAACTATAATAACTATAACAAATTATACCTACAAAACAATTCGGACGAAGTGAATGGTTTACTCAATGGAAACCATACAATGATTAGAATTTATGAAGCAATGTATCTACGTCTAACACAAATTGCATAACTCTAACAGGCAAATATTTTAACAAACCGTGAATAAGTACAATTGCTCGTTTAAGAACAAGTGGATTTCGCATATGACTTATGTCTAATGCTTCACAAAATCGGACATCTACAGGTAAAAACCAACATTTTTGGTAGAAGAGTGAGATATGACGGGATTTGAGGTAACCATGGAGATAGAAGTGATGCGGACACCCGACCAGAGACAAGCACTAACCACCAATGGGTCAAATAATAAAGGAAGTTGTCTCCTTCACACACCTCAGCGTCACCAACCACAGGCAGAAAGGATGACGATGTAAAACCACACCCTAAGCCCTATGACTTAAGTGTGGGAATCTGCAGTACTTAGCCATAAAAGGCAAATGTCAAAGTCAGTACACTATGTGATTCAGATTCTTGACACGCTTTTCATCAGAACCGATTCTTACCAACACTTTCTAACTACACCTAGTAGTAACTGACAGCCACAACAAATCTCGCAAGTTAATAACCTGGCTATCCCTATTCACCACATATGAGTGCGAATTGCATTTCCATAGTCTTCCATATCAGATACATTCAACTGCTTTCGTTAATGATCCATACCCAATTGTCACCCAAGGCTTTACATCCCCCAATATTGGCAACGCTTTTCCATTAATTCCGATACGATTTCTAAATTATTAAGCTGTCAGTAATTATTTTAATGATTGTGTGTGGATATGCGTGCAACCCATGAGGACAACAGGACTTCCGCAATATCGAAGGATACTAGAGCTCAAGTGACAAGACTCAGTTATCGTCAAAGCATTTGTTAGACGGAAAATGAACCTGCACGACTCGCACTAACATATATATCATATTAGGTACATAATTAAACCAACCAAAAATCAGTTTTAACCAATTCCAATAACGAGCCCCCTTCGTATAATACGTATAAGGTATGTAAGCAAATGCTAAACAGTCCTACTGACATACGACGACTTACATAGGATTCACGGTGCAACATCTAACGAGTATATTTGCATTGAAAAATTTATCCTTAGTAAAGTATATTGTTAAAACACATTAGGCTCTAGGCCTTTCCTTCTTGTGAGTATACAATGCTTTCAATGAAACACCTGCAACTTTAACAATTTTGAATCGGACACCAGGGATATCACCAACGGCATGACCCTTACGACCGAAACCAGAAACCAAAACCTCATCGTTCTCCTCAATGAAGTTGAGACAGCCATCGTTGGGGACAAAAGCTGTTATTTTCTTTCCATTTTTCAACAGCTGTACACGCACGCATTTCCGTACAGCGGAGTTAGGTTGTTTTGCCTCAACACCGACCTGGGAGAATATTTAACGTAAAAATATGACCTACCTTCTCAAGCACAACACCTTTGGCATGCGAGGCACCTTTAAATGGATTAGCTTTCCATCTTGTCCCAAGATGAGCTTTCTTGTAAGCCTTATCTGACCACCTTTGAGTTCGGCGATGATCTCGAAGTTTGCGGGCAGTCTTAAGACCTGATGGCTTCCTGCAGGCATTTCTAACAATCACCCAATGAACACGAGGTTACTGTGCCGCCAAAATACCGAGCACTAAAACAACATTCAATATTCTTTGGTGGACACGCCACTTTGTAAAACAATGTAGTTTAATAATTTATAACAGTACAGGAACATATTTTATAGCCTCTTGATTGTATTCTTTTAATTACTTCATTCTGTATTATTTGAAAAATGGCTTATTTCTCAAGAATGTGAAATGAAAACCCACTGATCCCCAAAGTGTGTCCGGCACAGTAATTGTTGAATGCCATCATTTGAGCTCACAGTATATCCTGACAAAGCTCAACCTTCTCAACTAATAAACTTGTGACAAAGAACAAAAATTGGATATCTAAGTACAGATATAATAATTTTTATTTTATTTTTGATTAGAGCTTGATGCCATATTTTCGGTAAAATTATGGAATTTTCAGCATGTGATATCGGTAGCCCAAATTTTGAAGGCCGACCATAGATATCGGGAGTGCGTTGGCAGGGGATCGAACCTCGGACCATGTGCATGGTTTGCGAGAGTCCTAACCACTGTGGCACCGACGCACATTACATTAACAGAAAATATATAATCGATACTACTAAATAAAGTATTCACATGACAATATGATAGTGTCTGTCTGAATTAACATTTTTGGCCTTAGCTGTTTCACCTGCTAAAATGAAAATCACCCGAACTTTGATTTTATAATTTTCAAACACTTTTTCGCTCATCTTTGGTGAAGTAAACCGATTAATTCTGTGCAATTTTTTCACGATCGCCATTCACGAAATCGGTTTCACCCACACTGTCGCCTCATTTGTCCAGAATTTCTGGTCTTACTGAGAACCTTGTCTATCATCCTCGACGTAGAAAGTGTCATCTGCACACAGCATTTGGTATGGCTGAGTTTCCGAGGGCACTGAATGTGCATATTGCCCTATTAGTTTATATCTTATATCTAGACGCGGCTCTGACGAACTCAAACTTGATCTTTATTAAAGCCTTCAGATGTTTCAGTGAGACCAACATAATAATGAATTAAGGTGTCAATGTAGTTGATGATTGAACGATCAATTCATGGCTGTTTGCTCAAACCCAACTCCATATATTTCGCGGGAGTCATCAATACGGCAGTCATCGTCTCATCGTTCGTTGTTCGTTGGAAGAGAGAAAACTATCGGAAGTATTATCGTGTTTTATTCTTATAACATTTATTCTTAAACTTTGTGTTCAATAACCAAATGGTTGGCTGTGTATTGGTGCAAGAATAAACGGTGCTTGAGTCACCAATTTGCTCACTGGTTTCTTGTGTTAGTTGTTACGCATAGTTTCTGAAAGTCTTCCAAGGACTGCGTGAGGTCCAGTGTAGCAAGACCTGGACATTGACACAGGGTTAACGCGTCTTGTAGACGAACCAGGGTTAATTACGAAAGTCAGTTTGGATTGGTTTTCTTTCCGTCGTGTGGTCACATCATTTCATTCTCCATAACACTTCTGAGAATTCGACGTCAATCTTTTGAAGGAGTTATTGCAAAGAATTAGTAGTTATAAATACAATGAATATCTCTGACTATTAAAGTACTGACGTATAACAGCTTTAAAGCTAGCAGCCCCACAAGTGTGTATACCATGCACAATGAAGTATGGTAGGAGATATTTATATGAATAACTGCCTTACTCAAGGCTCAATGTTAATTGTTAGTATTCCTTTTCCAGCATGAGCGGTAGAAGCATACGTCCATAATACAATGTCTAGGCTCTTATGACACTGCGCGTGGCAATTTTACGGGTGTATTCCTCTGAACTCAAGTGCATTCATTCTAATATTCTCTCCGTGGCCTTTATTCAAATACTAGACTTTCAGATAAATGGTTTTAATGAATTCACATAGAGACTAACTCGTTACCGCTTTATTTATTTGCATATGGACATCCGTCTTATGCCCGCTCCACTGAGGTGCATTTCCAAAACATAGCTAGGTCTTTGACTTAAGAATAATAGGTATTCTTGGGGTGTAGGGACGAAAGTTTCGTTAGAATTATTATTAGAATAGAAAACGCAACCGAAAGATTCCAAAGTTGGGGTTTGTAGTAGTTGAAAATGTCTGGGCTGTAATTAGCGGCAACTTATGCAAAATGGAACATGGTACTAGGCACTCTTAGAACTTGCGTTTGGATGGAGGTACTCGACCAAACATATTTCGTGGTAATTTTAATGCGTAAAATGTATGTTGAGTGTGGAGAGAGAGATAGGATCTCACTCTGAGTTTCTCCAAGTCCAACGATTTTAAACCACTACATCATGCAGGCCAGGGTTAAGGGTCAGCAGGTAGTGTGACCAAAGCTCAAAAATGGCTTGATGGATGATCGAACAACAATCATGAGTGTAATTTCTGGTTGAAGCGAACTGGAAAATTATTATTATTATTATTATTATTATTGGTAACAGCTTGATTCCACTGTATTTTTGGTACAAGTATGGAATTTTCAGCGTGGATATCGGTAGCCCAAATTTCTCAGGCCGACCATAGATATCTGGTGTGCGTAGGCAGAAGATCGAACCCCGGACCATGTGCATGGTCGGCGAGAGTTCTAACCCCTGTGCATTGCCTAAGCAAAAGTCTTGACTGAGATGAGCATGCTATCTCTGCTTTGCCGGGTCAAACATAGCGCAGCGTAATGTTGACGTTTCGCTAAAATACATTAGGACAAACCTCAGCGAGAGGATTTGTTTTTACCTCTGGCTGATGAAGTTCTCAAAATGTCAGTTTACGTTCACATGATTTATGCAGTGGTCGCACTGATGGTAACAGATTTCATTTAATTCATAATTTGAGGATATGGTGGAAAGAATGTTCGAACTAGAGGAACAGTTCAGACAACTCAATTCTCAGCTTGTCATTGAGTTTGAAATGAGGGATGATAGTTTAAGTGGTACGAAAAAGGACGGGTTTGTTTCAGACTTGAAAGAATCATTGAGTTCCACTGTCATTGATATTTGCATGCCTTATAATGTAATATACTTTGATGGCAACTCTAGTCAGTGTGGAATCTTTTTTACTTAGTTTAGGAAAATGATTGAGACTAAACTGAGTGACATATCTTTTGCACATTTGTCAAGGAAATTGGAGGAAGACTATTTAAGCCCGTGCGACCCTTTCTTCAGACCTCAGGTAAGAAAGGGACGGGCAGATACCGTACAGTTTATTTGGGCAGGAAAACACGATTGCTTTCTCACATGTCAGTGAACTTATAAGGGATTCTCAACCCGTTAGCATAAATGAAAACAATCTCAACCCCATTGCAACAAGGATTTGTAATGCTTATATCACGCCGAATGACCCTGGATATACTTCCGATCTGAACTCTTACAAGTCACGAAAAATTTAATAACCGTTCCCCTACTGGAATGCATACAGAATGGCCCGATGCGTCTGACAAGATTTCGGCTGACGATAGGGAGCCTGAGTTCGAGAATTTGGTTGGGTGTACCAAAGAAAGATCACCGGCGGCTGAAAGACGTTATGTAGTGTTACTTTTGTGGAGAATAGATACCAAGGATAAGAAGGCCGCAGAGAAACAGTATTCTGTCTCATTGGGAGTATTCTCGAACAATCTAATAATTACATTTAGAGTAGGGGTTTTCATAGTCCAGCAAAGAGTTTCAAAATAAAGGATATGAGCGCTGAGTAGAAAAGCCTTGAGGGAGCCAAATATTATTCTACGTACGCCACAAATCAGGCCAAGTTGCAAGGTGTTGGCCTTCAAGAAATGTGAGGTAGATGGACGCGAGTGTGCCATAATTTAGTATAAAATTTAGAGAGCATTAATAAAGCTGCGAGTATGGGAGAATTCTGGGCAGGAGGGTCCATTTCGGTCTAGTTCCTGTGAAGTTGTTTGGCCCGAAAGGTGTCTAGGTCGACGATTCAGGGAAGGAGGCCTCCGATTAACTGTTAAGACTGATTTGGGATGGATAAAATTAAGACAAAAACAGCGTCACAAATCGGCAGATAGGGTTTTATGTTGTCACTGGACAACCCTAAATAACTGCGGGATTATGAAATTAAAGACAAAGATGACTTAATTAAGGGGTATTCTGAGGATGACTAAAAGGAGCTAGGGGTGGCTTGTCGTTCCTCCACACTTGTCGGCGATCGTTTCTCTGCATGATTAGCACGAGACCAGAAACCAGAATAACTGAGAACTTATTATTATCCCCTTGGGTTCCGAGTGGAACATAGTGCTACAACTGCACATCTGCTTTTTTTCTGTTTTCTACTGTCCTCTTCAGCTGGGTCCTCAGTTTACCAAACTTCCTCATCTCTTCCTCCCACGACCACCCCCATGTCACCTTAGGACTATCCACTCGTCGCATTCCACTGGGATTCCATTGCAGTGATGGCGTGCATTGAGCGCGCTATCATTAGACAGTCTCCTCAATGTATGCCCGATCCATATCCATTTTCTCCTACACATCTGATACGCAATCGGATCTTGGTTGGTTTCCTTGCAAGAGTTTCTTGTTACAAATTCATTCTGGCCGGCCATGCGATCTTCAATGTGGAGCCAGTCAAGGCAGCTGTTGATAAAAGTTCGCAACCTGTCGAAGATCCTTTTCGTGACAAGCATGCCCAGTTTCTAACCCGTAAAGAAGAACCAACTTCACCTCAGTATCAGGAATCCAAATCCTGGTCTTTATACTGGCTGAGTGCGGAAGATTTCCAAACTGACTTCAAGTCGATGACGACACATCTTGTCTTTCCGAATATGGCTTTGACATCTTCATCTGTTCCGCGTGTCTGTGGTTGAAACCGTGCTTCCTGGCTAGATAAGTGAAGGAATAACCCTCTGTCAAATCTCCC